TAGAATGCCAGAAGATATGCCAGATAGAATGACAGATAGTATGCCAGACAAAATGCCAGATAGTATGCCAGACAGTATGCAAGATAGTATGTCAGGTGGGGATCACTCGAAGGAAAGTAATTTTCTTGAGTTGGTGGCAAAGGTTTGCATTCGATGTTTTGGTTTTCGGTAGATTTACAGTAGCGTGTATGACCAGCACCGCGATACTGTTCCAGTGTATATATAGAACTGGATGCTTTGAACCCAGCGGATGAAGCATGCAGAGAATATAGTGCACGAAAAGCAGCATGCCCAGACACAGTTTTCAATTTCAAAAGCAGCTATGCTGAACATGCCATAATGTCATACAGGCATCAAGAGCTATGATGTTTGTGCAATCTTTGTGAGGAGATGTTTCACAAACACGGTCTTTTTTTCATTCGCACACATCCTGACATGTTTGACTTTCAAGCACTGGTTTTCCTTTTGCAAATGGCTTGCAGCTAAAGCAAGTAGACTTGTCACTTTGTTGAAGTCCCACCCAAAACATTTATTTTCCAAGCAGACGCAGAGGTCAGCAATTTTGCTAGGTCAAGGGTAGAAATCATAGGTGTTTTGGAAGATGGTTATCTCCATTGGTTCAGCTTCTGTGACAGCCTGTCATGTGCTTGTCGAACACCACCAGGTTGCACAATGATACACGAAATACCTGTAAACTGTTCAGGCACATGGGAAGCATGCGGAAAAGAGTGCCGGCGGCAATGGTATTCCTGGTTGCATATCAAGTGAGCAAGCATCCTGCAAACTTCAGTGTCCAGAGGGCACCAAACGCACCTATATCTTTAGCGCGTGCCAGTTTTTCCGACGTTGTGGCAGCAGCAGGAGATGTTATGCGAGACCCAGCAGTCCAAGCTGCATACGCCGGGCTTGGTACTCTTCAAAAATTCACATATTTGTTCAACTCGTTCAACACTGCTGGCAATGCTTGGCGAGGCTGGACAGCTTCAGTGAGAGGTGCGACTTTTTACAAGATTGGTGACAATATTCCCGAGCACACATCAAGCCTCATTCAGAGTATGGAGGAAAACATTCGAGGTGGCAACAACTTCCTAATATCAGATGCCCAAAAAGCTGAATTGCCAAGTGAACCAGTGAGATCCACCCAGCTTGAACAGCTCATGGTCGCGGTGTTGCGCGACAAAAATCCAGGCATGTCAGCTGTCTATGCTGAGGCTGGCACTGGCAAGTCAGTCGCAATCTTGCTCGCAGTCACTGAAGTCGCTAGAACCAAAACCTCAGATTTCTTCGTCGTGTTGCAGAATGGTTTGGATGAGAGTCTGAATAATTTTTTGCGGTTTTCTGCAGTGAGCTCAGCAGCTGACATCGCCACATCCTTCTTTATCGTCTCCGTCTGGTTTTCGACAACGTGTTGGACAGTGGCGTTGGCGGCGACAAAGAGAAGGATATACTAAAAGCACTGGCACGAGGGGCGAGTGAGCATGGACACCAAGTAGTCTTCACCATGCAGGGGAAGGAAGCTGCAGAGTCCGTCGCGGAACTCAATGGTGACACAACCTACATGGCAGAACTACAAGACAAATCATATGGAGCCTACAGATGGATTAAACATGAAACGGTGCAGCTAATACAGAGATTGTCGGATTGACAGCAAGACGCAAATCAAATTCTGGCAGACTCTGAAATTCCTGATGAGATCGGACGTTGGAGACCTCGCTCTACGAAGTTGTTCATCCAATTTGGTCGAAAGCCGTCCCGGCCACTTCGAAGCAAGCAGGCTGGGCAAGCTTTCAAGGGTCTTGAGTCTCCTACCTGCACCTGTTCCGTGCTCAGGAAACCGTTTGGGTCAGACAGCTTCAAGAGGACAGCATGTTTAGAGAGTTGCATGTTGTGACGAAAGCCTTTGGCAGACATTTGTGTTCATTTTTTCCGTGAATACTTCCCCCTTTTGCCGGCATTCCACGACTTTCAGAGTTGGTTGGTTCATTTGTTCTCATGCCTGATATTCTTTCCCACTCCCAGAACTCCAAAGCGGAAGCAACATATTTTGATGGTGTTCACACGATGCCGATTGTGGGCAAGCCTGGTATGCAAAATAATACCATGTCATTTTATGTTCTTGAACTCGCTTGACACGATTCAGGACTTTTAGGGAGAAGGTTGCAGGGTGTTTAATTCCTCATGATTTGTTAAAAGATGTATGCCAAACTCAAACGTTTTCCTTAAATTGATAGAGAAGTTTTAGACGAAAGACTTTGTATGTTTTCTGACATACCCTTGTTCCTTTGCTGTGCCCTTTTGTCAGGTGCAGGAAGAACTTTTACTGACGAAAAGCCATGCCCCAAGCCAAACATGTACGTCCACCGTGCACAATAATACCTTGACATAATATGTTCTTGGTCGGGTTAAGGCCTTTTTAGGGGGTAGATAGCAGGTTTTTTTCATTCCTCAGGATTTGTTGAATGATATCTTCCCAACATCTTCCCTAAATTGATGGAGATGATTTAGACTCTAGACTAAAGACGTTGTATGTTTTTCATAGGAAGAACTTTTATTGACGAAAGGCCATGCCCCAAACTAAAAGCGTGATTGAGGGCAAGTCCACCGTGCAAGATAGAACACTGTGTTGTTTTGTTCTTGGTAGAGTTCAGAACTTTTAGGGAGAAGATAGCAGGGTTGCTCATTCCTCAGGATTTGTTGAAAGATATCTTCCCAACATCTTCCTCAAGTTGATAGAGAGGGTTTAGACAAGACTTTGTATGTTTTCTGCTATGCCCTTGTTCCTTTGCTGTGTCCTTTTGCCAGGTGTAGGAAGAACTTTTATTGACGAAAAAACACGAAAAGTCCCACCTCAACATCAAAGACGTTAAACCTTGCAAATCTGTTGAAGAAGCAACCTTGTTTTTACATCCCTATGGTTGTTTTGTTTCTTCCTCTGCAAAGTTCCTGTGCTAAAGCCGGTGTTGCTTGGTCGTGTGAATGAAAGTAGAGTTGTGCTCCATCATTTCTCCCACTCAAGCATCAAACAAAGGCTGTGCAATTTATTTGCAAAAGTCAATGCAACAGTTTATGCCTTTGTTCCTTTTGAGGTTCCTTTGACTAGCGGTAGGTTGAGAACAGAAGTGGTTTGTTTAGCCGAAACTTCATGAAGTAATTTCCCTCAGTCATTTTCACATCCCAAGGTCAAAATTCTTGCGTAATGCATTGCATTC